TACATAGGGTTTAGTGTACACAGGGTATGGTTTCTATAGGGTTTGGTGTACACAGGGTATGGTTTCTATAGGGTTTAGTGTACACAGGGTATGGTTTATATAGGGTTTGGTGTACACAGGGTATGGTTTCTATAGGGTTTGGTGTACACAGGGTATGGTTTACATAGGGTTTGGTGTACACAGGGTATGGTTTACATAGGGTTTGGTGTACACAGGGTATGGTTTCTATAGGGTTTGGTGTACACAGGGTATGGTTTCTATAGGGTTTAGTGTACACAGGGTATGGTTTCAATAGGGTTTGGTGTACCATGGAGCATAAAATGATCTTATTTTTAGCTCCATGGTTGTATGTAGGGTTGGGTTCACTTAGGGTTTGATTTATACAAAGTTTGGTTCACAAAGTGTTTGTTTTGTTTACATTAGTTTGTGTATCTTACCTTTAATAAGAGATAATCGTCTTCGTTTCTTGGGTGGTTTAATACCAGGTACAGGTTTACAATCATTCCTAGAAGTTGGTGGAGGTGTCATTCTTAATACAGGCGGATGAGAGAGCACAATGGGAACAGCTGGTGACATTAACATACTAGTCATACCTGAAGAGTGTGTCATGTGAGTATGAATTAAGGATAAGTAAATGAACACAGATTAGCTTACAATATAACACAATATTATTTACAATATATTATTATTTTAGGATTGGTGAAAATTATGCTATGCTAGTAGTACAATGTATATCACCAATGTAAGTTTAATTGAGCAGCAAAGATCACTGAGTCTGATCAGGCTGGATCATTGATAGTGAATATTCTGAATGGAATGGTATAATTTAAGCAGTATGGAACAAACATCCAACTACTCAAGATAAAATTTGTTACCGTATGTGCATTGTATTATTATAATAACAGCCAGAAATGTTTACAAAACACATAATACTGCTTGTATAAAATTACTGTTAGGAAATACCCCCAGAATGAAGGTCCCTATACAGTCATGAGACGTCAAATGAGACAATAGATATGTATACAAGAGTTAAATGGGAGAGAAGCAGTGGCTGCAGAGTTGAACTGACCTGTCATTACAGGACTCAGATTTGAAGTGTGAGCTCGGCTTGTTGATATGGTACATGGTGTGGACACTGATCTGCTATTAGAAATAGGAATATTAGTAACACTGGACAGTGGTGATACATAGAATATGAAGATCTCACAGAAACCATAAAACATACTGTGTGCATCTAATGCTCAAAGGTATTAGATAAATCTTTAAGTATACAATAAATTTAAATCCTGAAATCTGAAAAACCAAATTAAATGGATTAATAAGAATGAAGACACTAACTCCACATAGTTGCCTAGTTCATTCATGTTCAGTAACCATGGAAACCAACTCACATAATCTAAATCAGAACCAACTGAAAGCTAGCTTTAAAATTCTGGATACTGTAAACAGATTAATTTTTGCTGCCAGGAATTTTTATGATTTGAAGATTAAATGGCCTGTGTAAAGAAAAAATGTTGTGAAAGTCACTGGCATTTCATGTTGTAGGACCCTTGAGAACATTTTGTGAAAGTCAACGGCATTTCATGTTGTAGGACCCTTGAGAACATTTTGTGAAAGTCAATGGCATTTCATGTTGTAGGATCCTTGGGAACATTTTGTGAAAGTCACTGGCATTTCATGTTGTAGGACCCTTGAGAACATTTTGTGAAAGTCACTGGCATTTCATGTTGTAGGATCCTTGGGAACATTTTGTGAAAGTCACTGGCATTTCATGTTGTAGGACCCTTGAGAACATTTTGTGAAAGTCACTGGCATTTCATGTTGTAGGACCCTTGAGAACATTTTGTGAAACACTGGCATTTCATGTTGTAGGACCCTTGAGAACATTTTGTGAAAGTCACTGGCATTTCATGTTGTAGGACCCTTGAGAACATTTTGTGAAAGTCACTGGCATTTCATGTTGTAGGACCCTTGAGAACATTTTGTGAAAGTCACTGGCATTTCATGTTGTAGGATCCTTGGGAACATTTTTTGAAAGTCACTGGCATTTCATATTGTAGGACCCTTGAGAACATTTTGTGAAAGTCACTGGCATTTCATGTTGTAGGACCCTTGAGAACATTTTGTGAAAGTCACTGGCATTTCATGTTGTAGGACCCTTGAGAACATTTTGTGAAAGTCACTGGCATTTCATGTTGTAGGACCCTTGAGAACATTTTGTGAAAGTCACTGGCATTTCATGTTGTAGGACCTGTGACAAAATTTACACTGACTCATGAAAATGTGCCTGTCACAAAATTTAGGAAGTTTACAGCAAATGTGATAGACCTTTATTGGACTTCATACGAGATCTGCATTTCCTATTGTTATAAAATACCTTATATCCAACACACCAACATGTAGTTAGTAATAATAATGATAATGAAATTTAGCATTAATTATAATATAATTGAGAAATTAGTGGAATAGATAATGATAGTAATGTAGTAATGTACAATGTTTTATTTTGGAGTGTTCATGCAGCTCTATTCAGCAATGGGTAGGGAAATACAGTGCAGTATACTGATGTTCTGGTTGTATACTAGTAGCAATGCTTTCTGGCTTGCTGTAAAAAATGCACATTCCTACTGTGAAAGCAATGTTTATCATGCCAAAAATGGAATATTGTTAACAGACATCCAGATTTCTATCCATGTAATACAAAACTGCACGTGTACAAACAATTATTATCTTTAATGCACTGAATTACTTTCAGATGCAGACTGTGAACTCATTTCTAGGTTTAAAAAAAATAATGATTGGTAGTGTATTTATTTGACATCATGATTTCTGGACATAATTTATTCATCAAATTTTATAATGCCATCTATGCTTACTGACAGGTATGTACATTGTTGTCCGGGTGAATCAATGTGTTCTATTGAATCAATGTGTCCTGGTGAATCAATGTGTTCTGGTGAGTAAGACACTGTAAAGAACCCCTTTG